TGGCAATAAAATTGTCTGATTATGCTTAGACCATTGTTAGAATATAAATTACAATTTGAAACTTGAAATTTAGTAGCTGTAAACGCGTCTCGGTTCAGCGCAGGCGTAACTCTCAAAATAACTACTGCCAACTAGAAATATAGGGAAAATGATTGGGGGAGTCAGTCGGTTCGTATTCAAGGCCTGAAATAATCATTTAAATGACATTCGTTTTCTTTCTCCTACCGAGCAGTCCCTTACGATTTGCTTAATCAGTACACACGTAAAAACAAAACAAAATGACAAGACTGAATAAACGATAGGAAATTTCAAATTGAACTTAGGGTCTTAGTGCAACGAGGAAAACAGATTTTTACACCCTTTACACTTATCGATGGTAATTTATTACGAATATCTTAATATAACATGGGCGATGTGTACTTGCTCCACTACAGTAATCGAAACTCGACCTTCCACCCGTATTTATTTATGTTAAAAAGGAGGCTTTTCTGAGTGCCTTTAGGCTCCTGTGATACAAGGAAATAAAGCCAGTTCTAAGGAGGAGCCATCCCAAAATTCTAGAAAGAATTAAAATGAATGAGATGGCTATAACGGTACCTGACGAAATGAAAGAAAAACTCAACTTTGACAGACTCTTCGAAGTGGTCATATATATTAATAGAGTCCTTTGGAGGAAAACCCCGTTTCAGGAAGGGGTCCTAATACGGTACACAGATTGATCAAAGAATGAACAGCGAGTAGGTGTAGAGATAAAAAGGCCGAACTATACCGTAGCAAAGCACCTTGGATTAATCCCAACAATTTTCCAAGCTGAGGTCCAAGCAATACAACTCTGTGCTCAGGAGTTAATAAAAAAAAATGAAATGTGCACAGATTTGCATACTCTCGGACAGTCAAGCCGGGAACACACTTACCCGATGTTACCCGACGCCTTGTCACGTTTTGGTAGGATGTGCACATCTATGCGACGTCATGCGCACTCCACGTACAGTCACACAGCGTGTATCACAAATCAGTATCACAATCGCAACGCCTCTTTTGTTCTTAATGCACTATTTTGAGCAAAATAAGCATATAATAAATTGTTAGTTAAATTTAATTGTTTTAAATAAAGTTATTCCGGTGTTTTGATAAATTTTCTGCCTGACCTTCATAATTAAATAATTTTTATAAAACTCATGAATTTTTGATCTCGGTTAATTTGGTTTATATTAAAATAAGTATGTTGTAATTAATAAAAAAGGTAATACATGTAGTTTGAATAAAAATATGAGTGTCCGGTTCTTTTGTCGTCGACTGTACTCGATGCTTCCTGACGAAAATCTGGACAGTGGGGATCGCAGATCGTAGAGTAGGGTAGCGTTCATGCCATCGGGCAGATTTGCACGGGGGTAATTCAATCTTATGGAAAAATGAACTTTGGATTTGTGTCGGGTAGCATCGGGTAGCGTCGCATAGCGTTGCATCGGGTAAGTGTATTCCCGGCTTCAGGCAGGTATACACTTACTACTAACTAAATGGGTGAGTTTCAACTCCAAACTTGTCTGGGAGTGCCTAAATTGCGTAAAGTCTGGGAAAACGAAACAATATTACTTTAAAAAAAGTTTCCGGACATTATGATATAAATGGAAATTAACAGGCTGACCAGCTAGTCGAAAAAGGAGCAGCCCTCTCAAAAATGAGACCAGAACGAAAACTAGGTGCACTGGAATGTGTGCTTACGTTGAAACTGAAAAAATGGTCTGAGCAATAATAGCGCTGGACAAAAGCACCAGGTATGAGGCAAGCAAAGAGATTTATAAATTTCTCCAAAAAGAAGGCGATGAATTCCTCTCTCTCTCTCTCTCACACACACACACACACACAACACACATACACTCAGCAAGCAGGATTTTTGTGAGAAATTATATGCCTCCATTCTGGCCACTACCCTCTTAACTACCACCAAAATTGTTAGTTGAATTTAATTGTTTTAAGCAAACTTATTCCGGTGTTTTGATAAATTTTCTGCCTAACCATCATAATTAAATAATTTTTATAAAACTCATGAATTTTTGATCTCGGTTAATTTGATTTATATTAAAATAAGTATGTTGTAATTAATATAAAGATAATAATACATGTAGTTTGAATAAAAATATGAGTGTCCGGTTCTTTTGTCGTCGACTGTACTCGATGCTACCCGACGAAAATCTGGACAGTGGGATCGCAGAGCGTAGAGTAAGGTAGCGTTGCATAGCATCGGGCAGACGTGCACGGGGGTAATCAGTAACAATCTTATGGAAAAATGGATGGACAAAGCGGAGACAGATACATGCCGAATCTGTCAGGAGGAACCTGAGACACCGGCACGTATCCTTGTGAATGTGAACCATTAGCCCAGTTACGTTACAACCACTTCGGTAAGGCAAGTCTCACACCAAAAAAGTGTACGAAGAGGCACCGAGGACTTTCCAAGGTGTGGCTGTAGAGTTTATAGGGGTTCTGCAATAGATCTATATAGGTCATGGTGGAGGAAAAGATTTTTAAAATCCTTATTCAACCTCCTGATTTTTGGCTATTGAGCCAGAGGGCCAAAGTTATCATCAATTGTCTGGCCTTACCCCACTATAATTGTTTGCGAATATTTTAATTGAATTTTATTTTTGTTTTTGGTTTTGTACTTTGAACAGAACTTGTTCCAAGAACTCCATTGCAGAAACAAACCCATGAGATTTCCCTCACTTTACAAGGCAAAAGTTTCGAAAGACAACTGGCAAATTACATTTACCAATGCGATTTCGTGGAAAAGTTAAATTAATCAGTCCCCCGGTCTCGGGGAATCGTCAAATAACAGGAAGAAACTGGTGAAGCTTGTGAATATCGATCGAATTGCGGATGTTTTGGAACTCGCCTTGAATTAACTATTTAATTAACTTGGCACCGTCTTGTCATCGTGGTCTTGAATGAGCGGGAATGTTCAATCTTATAACTAAACGCTCATGAAGGACAGAAATAGATTTTTTATGTCAAAAGTCAAGACGGCACCGCTTTGTAACCTCAGAAAAAAAGTTCATCTCCTACCAGTCTTCATGGCCGACTACCAACTTCATGAATGCTTACAAGATAGACTTCTAACTTTATATGTCGCTAAACCTTTTACTTTGCAAAAAACTCCTTGATTTTACCTTACGCCTTCAATCCTTCAACTCCCAAAAATTGCCATAGTTTTCCCAACCACCCTTTATAATGATAACTATATAGTACCACTCACTTCCCGATGCCATAATAGATGGCCATATTTCATCGGTTTACTGTCAATTCTAGTAAACCCCTTGAAAAACTCGTCTGTAAAAATCTTCTAATAAATGACCTGACCATCAATTTGGATTTAGGCGTTAGTATTCCACTGTACAACAGTGCCATCATGTTGTGAACATAATCCTCCCTTGAGAAGAAAGAATGCTGTCGGAGGTCTTCCTCTATGTCGAAGGTTCGATCGAGTCTGGCACCTGGAATATAGATGCTCAAAAGCCCTTCCAACCCCATCCACATCCTTATGTCCTACTTGGTGGAAAGGAAAAAAAATCACTTTTGCGGTGTGGGCTGCATGAACTAGTGTAAACCTCTAGGCCGTCTAGAGAAGTTGGGGCCATATCAGGGATTGCTTTGGAAAGGAAAACTGATGGGAGAAAACTTGAGGTGTTCGCTGGGCTAGGTCGGTACAAAGGAGAGGATTAAAACGGAGGTTAGCTCGAGAGGTGGTTTTTTTAGTAGATCTTAACATCACAGGACATCTTAACAACTTAACAGCACAGGAAGGAACAACTGGGAAAGGAAATTAAGAGAGGTTGAGAATGGGTCTAAATGGATCAAAGTGCTTGAGGACTCGTCTATATTAATGCCTCTCTGTATTCTTCAATGATTATTTGAGATTTTAGAATCTTGGACAATGGTTAATTCTAACAAATGTACAATTTCGGTGGGTTTGACGATGCAATTGACTTTGGTGATTTCTTCATGGTTTATTATGTTTTCTGGTTGAACATTGAAAGGTAATCTATTCCCATAGTAAGCGAAATTTGATTTAGTTCACAGAATAGTTCGGCTGAGGAAATTATGTTGGGGTGTAATGTTTTTGATTTACAAAATGCGATAGAATTTCCTATATCCTGTAATATGTTTAATATAATGTAATGTAGGGTTTATATTTGATTTAAAATATTATGTTGTATACTTAAATCGATGTAATGGTTAATTCCCTAATTTCGTGGTCCGCTTGACCAATTACACATTACAATTAATTAAGGTTTTTAGTTGAGATAAAAAAGTCAATGGCACGAGCGGGATTCGAACCCACGATCTTCGGCTTGATACGCCGCTGCTCTACCACTTGAGCTATCGTGACCTCGATCCACTCGGACACCAACTTCCCATCTCAACAACACCTTTTGAATTTTCCCTCTTTTTTGTCATTTTTATCTCAACTGAAAACCTTAATTAATTGTAATGATTAATGTTTTCGTTTAGCTCCATTATATTTAGTGGTCTATTGGTCAAATTACTTCTTTCAATTAATTAACATTTTTATGTAGGGTTTTGGTTGAAATGAAAAAGTTAGTGTGACGAGCGGGATTCGTACGCACGACCTTCGGCTCAATATGCCGCTGCTCTAACCACTTGAGCTATGGACTTCAATTCACTCGGACACCCACTCCTCATCTCAACCTACAACCTTTCAAATTATATTTTTTATTATATTAGTCCATATATATTTAGCGGTCATAATTGACGTTTTAAATTAACCAAGATTTTAGATAAAAAGTATAATTATTTGAAGTAATTAAATATGAATTAATATAATAATCCCAGCATGTCTTACAAGAATATTATTTTACTTTTTACTAAATACTTATATCTCCTTGTAGAATTTGTGGAAAAACGTAGCATGTTGAGATTTTAATACTATGTCGCTTATTTTAATAACCCCATAATAATTATTTGTCTTCTTTCTGTTACAGAAAGCGCGGTTAGCAAGGATAAGGATAGCGAAAGCCTCGTCTGGAGCTGCGTTTGTGAACAAGAAGAAAGCAGCAGAAGCCAGGCTCGCAGCTCAAGAGTCTGGCCTCGAAATCGACGAAAACTACAAAGAAGAAGATATCTTCGAACTGCAACATCATCATCTCCTCCGGTGCCTCGAGAAAACTACGGTAGATATTTTTAATGTCGCTCCACTTTCTATTTGGATTTTAGTTTGTCACCATTAAAATTTTTTGGAGTTTTGTGGAAAGAGAGCCCAATAGCCCGAACCAACCGCAACCGATATAAAGGTGAAATCAATTTAGGGCTATAACTCCCGTCATCATCCCTAACAGTAAAAAACCGAAATTCCCGTTCAAATAACTCCGACAGATAGAGGTAAACATTTTGTAGGGTTCTTCCTAGGCTTTGTGGTCAGAAACGTGAATAAATTAATTATGCAAAGTAGCCGGTGTTGTCAAAATTTTTGTTATTTCACATCATGCCTCTGATTTATCAGAAAGGAGGACATAATGCTTTCTTCGTAAATTGGCTAGGATAAAGTAACTTGAGCCACTTCTCCGTCTATTTTGATCTACTAACCTGCTCATATCCTCGGTACAGCAGGCTTTAGATTACTGTTAAAAAATACAAAAATATATGAAAATTTAATATTATTGGTATTAATGTTTTAAAAACTGTAGAACAGTTAAGACAGAGACAAAATATCGTTGAACAGACCCAAGGGAAAATATCATTCCTTTCTGGATTAGAAGACATGTAGGGGTTAAGGATAACTTGGTTGAAATTAACGATGCAAGTACTTATGATACAATGAAGAATATTTTATGGAATACTAAAATGGTAAATGGCGAAAGGTAAAAGAAGTGTTGCAATGCCATGAATAACATAAAAGGGAAAGTTTCTTTGTCTAGAAAGGAAAAGCAAATCCAGCTGGTTCTTTGGGAAATGATATTTGAAATCAAGACATGCCTTTACAGTATGTCCAGCTTAGCAAATAGAGTCAAGAAAACAACAAAATATTTGAGAGAATTGCAAAATTTATACGAAATATTTTTAAATACTCGCGTACCTGCTGAGCTTATGTGAAGAAAACATCACCACATACACTCAGCAAACATGAAGTTCGAAAAGTGGTTTTTCACTCTTAACAGTTCAAGATCGAACGGCTAAGTGGGGTGGTTTAAGGGCTATAGAGGGAGCACAATCATCAAATTGGGAAATTTCAAAACTGCTAATTCTCCAATTTTGTTGTTTTTGCCATCCATCCAGAAACATCTTGGCTACATTATCCATGGGTTAAAATTTCAGCAGAGGTAGCAGCAATTTTTCTAAACACTTCACAAGGCAATCATGCTCCTTGGGCCAGTGTGGATGTACCCTTGCGCTACCTCTATAACACTCCGAGACTTTATAGAAGACATTGTTTTCAAATAAAAAAATAAATTTAAACACATAACAGGCCCAAAATCAGACATTCTTTGAAATCATCTTATTAAAGCATTCGATTATATGTTAAGCGATATTCAATTAAAAAGTCCACTTGCTTTCCGTCTTTTGAAACGTTTTCTAGAAGCAGCAATACCTGACGAAAACATAATAATTTTCTCCACTTATAGATCGTTAAGCTCTACCAAGTTCCATTTTGGAAGGATTTTTGAATAGATTGTTCAGTACTATCTATTCTTACGACTTAACCAAAAAGTCGAGCAAACCAAAACGAGCAAGGTAGCAAGCTTTACCCTTTACAAACATGAAACAGCAGTACTGAAAGAAAAACAGACTCACACCTGAAAAACGAACGTAACGGAACTAAAAAACTTGAAAAATCCAATCGACCGGAAACAAAAACAAGAAACTGCCGCGAACAGTTCTGAACTAAAAAAAAATTAAATAAACAAATAAACGTGAAACAAACACCCAAACTAAAACTAAAAATATCGAAATGCCGACAAAGAAAGAGGAATAGGTAAATGGAGAAGCTCAGACAAATGTCAAACTCGTGGGCAGTCTGCACGACAATGCTTCACACATATATTTAAAAATATTAATTAATCTTTTTATGAAAGATTTTTGGTTGAAATGAAAAAGTTAGTGCCACGTGCGGGATTCGAACCCACGACCGTCGGCTCAATACGCCGCTTCTCTAACCACTTAAGAGCATGACATGACATGACAACTTTTTCATTTCAACCCAAAACCTCACATAAAAAAATTAATTAATTGAAAGAAGAGATTAATTAATTGAAAGAAGTTATTTGGTCAATAGACCTCTAAATATAATGGATTTAAAATATGTTACGTATAACTGTAAGAAAAAAGCAATATGAGAACAAAAAAACAGGCCAGAAAATAAATTGATGTGCAAATTGTTTTAATTTTTCTTAGATGTGCAGCTTATTATTTGTGTGGTGATTAGGTGATTATTTGTACTATTGTTAATTAAGCGAATTGATAACACATGAAATCTAATGAATAAAAATTTCAACCGAAAATTTCCGAATGCATAAATGTTCTTTACACGTACTGTATTGCATAACACCATATATTTAAGGGCAGGCAAGACCAACCTTATAAAAATGGAGGAAAAACCTTCATATTTTTGCACTTTTTTTCTCAAAAATCATTGAATAGATTCGAATAAAATTTTTGATGCGTGCTGGAGAATGTGTGATGAACTGTCAACTAAATTTTCATACTTTAATGCCGGGAACACACCCGATGCAACGCTATGCGACCCAATGCTACCCGACTCCTTGTCTTGTTTTGGTGTAGGGTGTGCACATCTATGCGACGTCAAGCGCACGCCACGTACAGTCACACAGCGTGTATCACAAATCAGTATCAAAATCGCAACGCCTCTTTTGTTCTTAATGGACTATTTTGAGCAAAACCATGTAATAAATATTGTTAGTTACATTTTATGAGCACAACCATGTAATAAATTCTTAGGTAAATTTAATTGGTTTAAATAAAGTTTTTCCGGTGTTTTGATCAATTTTCTACCAAACCGTTAAAATTATTATTTTTTAATAAAAACTAATGAATTTTTGATCTCGTTTAATTTGGTTTATATTGAAATAAGAATGTTGTATTTAATATAACGGTAAAATTACATATACATAGTTTGAAATAAATTACAAAAAATATGAGTGTCCTGTTCTGACGCATCTCGACGAAAACGGTGTAATTGTATGAGAAAAACCATGAAATAAATTGTTAATTAAATTTTATGAGCAAAACCGTGTAATAAATTGTTAGTTAAATTCATTCTATCAAAAAATGGTATTCCGGTGTTTTGATCAATTTTCTACCAAGCCATTAAAATTTTTTTTTAAATAAAAACTAATGAATTTTTGATCTCGGTTAACTTGGTTTGTATTAAAATAAGTATGTTGTAATTAATGTAACGGCAATAATACATGTAGTTAGAATAAAAATATGAGTGTCTGGTTCTTTTGTCTTCGACTGTACTCGCTGCTACCCGACGAAAATCTGGACAGTGGGGATCGCAGAGCGTAGAGTAGGGTGGCGTTGCAAAGCATGGGGCAGATGTGCACGGGGGTAATACAATCTTATAGAAAAATGGACTTTGGATTTGTGTCGGGTAGCGTTTCATCGGGTGTGTTCCCGGCTTAAGGAGTATAAACAATTTTGTCATTTTCATATTTTCTTTTATTTATTTTTCAAAATATTTTTCTTTGAACTCTTTTTGAATTTATTAGGGATGTTAAAAAACAATAGTTTGACTTTATTATTTATTCTAGAGTATTCTTAGACAGTCAAGTCCGTAAAACCGTAATATTTCAATTCTGGAGATCTACTCTAAATTCTATGAAACAATATAAAATATCAAACGACAATATTTCACAATAGGATTCTTCCCCTCAAAAACTTCCTTTACGTTTACCGCTTATACTCACAACCTGTTTTCTTTATATTTCAATTAAGTCAGACTCATTTCATGGAATGTTTGGGTCGGTTCTATTCGAAGAAATGCAGACTATTCAAACGTTGAGAATAAATTATCGCCGGTCTCTGCGCAACTCTGTATTGTATTCAAATCTCAACATCCCCATGGAGACGCATTCGATCAAAGAAACGTACACAAAAAAACCAACTTCCTCCATGATAGGTCAAATAAACCTAACTCGGAAACGAACTAACAAAGAGGCTTAGCTGAAGTGCCAAGAAAAAAAAATTTCCATATGTATATGTTTGTTATTTTATATTCTTGTTTGTTAGATTTTTTACTTTTTTTTAATTCATGGAGGGTTTTTGATTCGATTTTTCCCATTATTTTATCATCATCCCTGGCTAGCCAAACCATAACTTACAAAGGGAAGCTACAGACTTTGGATTACAGAATTAATCAAACTTTTTTTTTTGGAAATACTACATAATAAAATATAAGACACATGTCTGAGCGTTCCTGCCAATGAGCCCTAGGATACGAATATGGACTTTTAAAGTAGCATACAACAATTAACAGGAAAAAATCAAGAATCGTTTTCTACACCCCAAAAAACCTCGAATACAAATTTCTGGACAAATCACAAAATATTTTTTACCGTCGAAATTTTTGCTTTATAGATTTTTGTAAATCACAGAAATCACAATAACTTTGAAAGGACTTTGCCGATCAACTGGTTACTTACGAAAGATTTAGAACCTTCTAAACTACACGCAATGCCATAACTTTGGCCATCGTAAATAAATTAAAACCATAGATATAAAATAATACGAATCTTATTTTTCGTACATATAATGTCATAATAACTAAACAAAATTCATAGAGGCCGAAAAAAGAAACATTCAGCTTTCCAATAATAGTAATATTGTGGAAATTGAATATAAACTATAGGAGCTGTGAATCTTTTAAGTGGAACACAGGACATCGGATAAAAAAAAATTACCACCTGGCTGTTTCAGTCAAAAATGTATATTTTTTGTTATAAAAATTCATATTTAGGAGCTTTAAAGTATGCTTAAAATGAAACCTAAGTTTTTCGAAAATATTTTTTTAGCATAATTTATCGAGTGCCTCTTTTCGTTTTTGTTTCTTTTTATATATCTAATTACAATCTAATATTATTTTCATCTCCTAAGTAAAAAAGCACATCAACTGATATATAATAACTTTGAAACAATAAAGGCAGAATACTATATT